ATCTCTATCACACTTATAAAAAACAAAGCAATGGACAAAGTACCTCATGAAACATGTCTTTGTTTACTGCTTGAAAATGTTCATAAAAAGGTACTCACGTGAACAGAAACAAATCACGTAGAGAATCTACTAAAACACAAACCGGATTTATGAGAAGGATTTATGAGTCTGACCTGTTTGTGCCTGTTTTAGAATGATTATGGATTTTATTACCTTCACACTTGCAAGTATTTTTTCTATGTATTCTTAGTAAACAAAGAGGTATTTCTCAAAGTCAAAGCACTTTGTTCATTTATTTGTTAACCCTAACTTAACCCTAACTTAAATTTAAAGGATAAATTCACTTTTCGTAACATGTTACATGTTACACCCATATATAACATGTTAGAAAAGGACCGGGCCGCCCCCCTGCTCTCCCCAATCCCCACCCGGCAGCTTCAATCAGTTACAGTAATCTGTGAATAGGAACATTAATAAGTTCCGATAGCCTTTGCAGCAGTCAACCTATAGCTCTCAATGAACTACCACAGCACTGTTGAGTTCTGTGGTAATTAATTGATTCTTCCTGTCAGTGTGTATCTGCTTGCCAGTACAAGATATGAGCAAACAGATATACTGACAGGTCTGCAGGAGCCCTGAATGGCACCAGCGATCTGTTGATCTCTGGTGCAATGCTTTCCAGGCTCCCAAAACAAAAAATAGCAAATGCATATTATTTTACCTGCAAAAAAAAATGTGCATTTATTATTTTTTGTTAAAAGGTGAACTTGTCCTTTACTCATAGCCTGAGCTTAACATCTGAACCTAACCCGTAACATAAGCCTAACTACTGACCTAAAACTCATGAATTGTATGCTATGACAGTGATGACTGAAATATTATTGCTGTGACAAATGCTGTTGAAAATGTTTATTGCTGTGCAGTGTATGGAAAGTTACCAAACTGTAACTAGGTGACAACAAGAAGATTCAGCTGGATCTTACAGCTGTAGTCAAATTTCAGTCTGGGAACAAAATCAAGCAGAGAACAGATAGTACCAAGTGTGCAGTCAGAAATCAAGTCAGGAGACAGACCACGTTCATAATCGGGCAGACAACAGCAGTTACCAAATCTGCAGAAAGTAACCAAGGACAAGAGACGGGTCAAGGTCTAGATTGAGCAGATAGCAAGAAGTACCAATCAGCAGACAGCAAGGACAGGAGACAAATCAAGGTCAGGATCGGGTAGATAACAGGAGCTACCAAATCTGAAGACAGTAAGCGAGGACAAGAGACAGGTCAAGGTTGGGATCGGGCAGACAGCAAGAGGTGCCAAATTAGCAGACAGCAGGGACAGGAGACAGATCAAGGTCAGGATCGGGCAGATAACAGGAGCTACCAAATCTGCAGACAGGAGACAGGTCAAGGTTGTGATCGAGCAGACAGCAAGAGGTACCAAATCAGCAGACAGCAAGGACTGGAGAAAGGTCAAGGTCAAGATGGGGCCGACAGCAGGAGGTACAAAATCAGCAGACTGCAAGGACTGGAGACAGGTCAAGGTCAGCATCATGAGAACAGCAGAAAGTACCAAATCAGCAGACAGCAAGCAAGTAGTGTTGACAGTTCAAGGTTAGTATCAGGAGAGCAGCAGAAGATACCAAATCAGCAGGCAGTAAGCATGGTCAGGAGAGCAAGTCGGCAGAAGTTAGAGATACAAAAGCAAATCAAAATCACAAGATAAGGACATGGGTCACAGGAATCCATAAATACCAATCAGTAACAAAGTCATGTTGGGGTTTCAATAGACCAAATAGCACCAAAACGAATGCTGGCCATGCACTCTCACCTTTGCTGATGCTGTGAAGCAAAAATGCATAGAAATGCATGTATGCTTGAGATGAGACCCTAAGTGCTGGGCCTTGTACCATGTTATGTGCTTGTACTGTTTCTCTTACATGGTGACAAAATTGACACTCTTCTGTGGGAAATACTCTGCAGCCTTGATTGGTGCATGGTCAGGAATGGGAAAGGCGAGTAAAGGTGCCAAATGGTGCCTCCTGCACAGTGTAGGTTGTTTGTTTTGTTTTTTTCTTTAGGTTTCCTTTCACTTTAGAAGTGTTATTTGGGCCCAGATGGAATTGTAATTAGTTGCATATTTCATCTGTTTGTACCTTAACTTGCACTAATTAATAAAACTAAGAGAAGCTTACTTTCTTATAGAAGTTATAAACATTTATCAGTTTACTGTATTATCATTATTGTCAATCAATGTAACTTCCATTTAAAAAGCAAATCCATAGTGGTTATATAAAATAGAATCAAAGTAAGGATGTATTGATTTAGGTGGACAAGTTAGAAATACAACGCAATAAACATCCAACATCTGCTAAAATTACATTTACAATTTTTATTGGTTTCTTGGGTAGGTAGTGGACGATACAATAAGAGTAATGGGAACTAAGGCATGCACATGTAGAGGTAGCATTATTGAGCAGGAACAAAACTTATACTGTATCTGAAAATAAGCTCCTAGAATATGTTGTGTAGCCTTGAATGCTCATGCACAGATTACATTTTTCAGGTTACCTGGCTCCCAGGAATCTTCAGAGTGCAGGGATGGTTCCATTTCTACAGAGCTTCCTCTGTAATACAGATACAATATGTAGTAACAAATCCTACACACCAAACCCAGTTACTTCAAGAAGCAGGTAAGATAAGTGTAATCTTCTGAGGTTATTTCTTGAAACCACTGCATGGAATCAAGCTGGCTATACAGTTGCAAGAAAAAGTATGTGAACCCCTTGGGATTATGTGGAGTCTTGCATGAATTGGGCATAAATTGTGTTCTGAATGTCATCTAAGTCACAACAATAGAAGAACACAGTCTACTGAACATAATACTACACAAACATTAGATGTTGCCATGGTTTAATTGCACATAACATGTAAACATTCACAGTGCAGGGAGAAAAAAGTATGTGAGGCCCTAGCTTAATGACTTCTCCCAGAGCTAATTGGAGCCAGGAGTGAGCCAACGTTGACTCCAATCAGTGTGATGATATTGGATGTGTTGCTGACAGCTGTCCTGCCGTTCAGAGCACATTTTATGCCCAATTCATGCAAAACACCATGTAATCCCAAGGGGTTCACACTTTTTCTTGCAACTGTAGCTTTTAGAGATGGATTGTTCAATCATAAGCGAACACGGTGTCATTTAACATACAACCATATGGTAGCTTACATTCTATGGTTTTACAGTTCTGTTGTGGCTTTCATCCACACATGCTTTGCATTCTGAGATCATCTGCCATCTTACAATGTATGTACCAAAACAAGCAACTCATTTTTTTTATCAGATACTGTGGGATAATGTATGGTCAACACCATATATATGCAGCTGGTTTAAAAAATCTGCAACAGGAATGCAGACAGCACACCAAAGGAGAGTTCTAGCTTCCCCTACTCTAAAGTAAAAAAAATGAATTTTGGATAGTGGTAAAACCCAATAGGGTTTCTAACCCTTTTTCACGTTTTCCAAAACTGTCTGGACACATACTAAGCACATTATTTTTTTTTTCAACATTGCTCAGTAACTAATATTTACATGGAGCTTTTGCATTAAATAGTCAGGAAATAGCTTTTATTTGTCCAGTGCTGGATAAAGTACATGTTGTATGTGAATAAGTACTGTCACAGGTAAAATTTGCATTCAGATGCTTTTTGGTCAATATGTCTAAGGGTTTGAACAAGTGGGGAAATCAGCACAGTGTATCTGAGAGCAGTCTGAGACGTTTATGAGATCCTTTTAGTTCCTTCACAAGTGTTTCTTACCTGCCTCAAGCTGTTATAAGATGCTTCTGTATTCCCACTGAATTGCGTTGGAAGGAAAGTGATTTTGATGTTCACAATATACACAAGCCCTATTAATGTAGTTATATGACATATGAGCAAAGAACAACTCAATGTGGCTACTTTTGGGCATAAGTAGCTAGGACTACAGTACGTCATTAAAAATTGATTCAGGAACACAGGTTACGGTCAATAGATGCAAGATTTAGTTACTTTGGTTGTGCATTCATTATCATTATTATTGTTATCATTTAGGTTTTATATAATGCCAATAGTTTGTACGGCACTTTACAAAATAAAGGGAGACAGTGCCGTTACAATACAGGAGGGTTAGGAGGGCCCTGCTTATGAGGACTCATGAGGATTCATGATTATTGCAAAAATGCATTTATTGTGAGGGATGAGTTGACAGAGAAAGTCAAAGTACAGTTTTTAGGTGGAGACAGGATAGGCTTCCCTGAAGAGATTCATTCAAAGTTCGAAGAATGTGGTTGTATTGTTTTGCATAGTGTTGTCAAACTAATGATGTGAACTTGCTCACGGGAAGGGAAAACAAAAAGGTAACAGTGTCAGTTCATTGTTCATTGAGCAGGGTGGGGTGGATAGATGACACCTCTTTGTTCCAGGAGAACAGCAAAGTTGAGAGACAGATATGTTATTGGGCTTACCTGCCAAAGGCTATATACCTGTTCAGCTGGTCTTAAAATCCAGACAGCCCAGTAACATCCTGACTGTTTTGAACTTGACATTGCCTTTAACCACTTGCCTACCAGGCACTTATACCCCCTTCTTTACCAGGCCAATTTTCAGCTTTCAGCGCTGCCGCACTTTGATTGACAATTGCGCGGTCATGCAACATTGTACCCATATGAAATTTTGATAATTTTTTTCTCACAAATAGAGCTTTCTTTTGGTGGTATTTAATCGCCACTGGGCGCTTTACTTTTTGCGCTATAAATACAAAAAGTGCAAAAAATTTGAAAAAAAAAAAGTTTCTTTGTTTCTATTATAAAATTTTTCAAACAGGTAATTTTTCTCCTTCACTGATGTGCGTTGATGAGGCAGCACTGATGGGCACTGATAGGCGGCACTGATGGGCACTGATAGGCAGCACTAAAGGGCACTGATAGGCAGTACTAATGAGGTGGCACGGATAGGCGGCACTAATATGCAGCACTGATAGGTGGCACTGATAGGTGACACTGATGATGGGTACTGATAGACGGCACTGACTGGCATCACTGCTGGGCACTGACTGGCGCCACTGACTGGCACAACCCCTGGGCACTGACTGGTGGCACTGACTGGCAGCACTGGTGGGTGGCACTGGTGGGTGGGCACAGGTGGGTGGGCACAGGTGGGTGGGCACTGGGTGGCACTGCTAGGCACAGGTGGGTGGCACTTCTGGGCACAGGTGTGTGACACTGCAGAGTGGCACAGGTGGGTGCACTGCTGGGCACAGGTGGGTGATCTGCTGGGCACAGGTGGGCGGAGCTAGTGGGCACACTGCTGGGCACAGGTGGGCGGAGCTTTCGGGTGGCACTGCTGGGCACCGATCATCAGGGCACTGATCATCAGTGCCCTGATGATCGGTGCCGATCCCCACTCTGACAACTGCCGGTTCTCGGCAGTACTTTCCTCACGATCTGACAGCGTGAGGAAAGTGCAGCCGAGAACCGGCACTTGCATTTTCCTCTGATCAGCGTGTCATTGGACACCGCTGATCAGGTGGTAAAAGGCCGCTGTGATTGGCCTTTTACCACATCACGTGATCAGCTGTGTCCTGGGAGAGCGCGTTCTGGGAGGACGTCATATGACATCCACCCAGAACTGGCCGGCCGCAGTGAAGCCGTCATTCGACTATCTGCGGTCGGCAGGTAGTTAAGCAATACAGTCTGGTTTTTAGGTTCACCGTAGCCTATGACTGGAAGGGAAGGGTCAGCGGCATACCGATGAGGTCAGCCATAAGCCTAGTACACAATGTTGGGAAGCATCAGCCAGTTCAATAGAAACCGTCCGACATTCGGCCCGTGTGTACGGCAGCCACTCAGACAGAATGGCGGCTTCTATCAAAGAGGCATAGCCGAAAAAGGTCTGCCAATCTGCTCCTGATCAGTGCTCTCAGCCAATGGCCATCCCCCTGTCAGAACACAATAGCACAGCAGGGGAGATCGCTGTACTAACATCAGATAGTTAGTACAGCGGCTCCTCCTGAACTGTCAGTTTTTTTTTATTCAGCCTGCTGGGTTGAACGAAAGAAAAACTAGTAGTGTGTACTAGGCTCTAGGCTGTATGTTATCCCTCCTGTAAGCATGTTCATAGCATGAAATGACAAAACTGTATAAAGCTATAGTGGCCTGGATTGCCTGTCTGAATGAAAACTGCCAAGAGGGTTACAGGTGGCAGATGCCAAGACAGGTTCAAGTACTTTTTCCATGGAAAAAAACATTAAAAGAGTATGTATCTAGACACTAATAAATGTGAACACAAACATAAAACACACCATATGACTTCCTCAGGGCTCTAAGGAAGTCACATGGTACTGTGACGCAACGCGTCAGCCTGACGTAGTGACGCACTTCCGGCATAGCGGCCATCTTGGTACACCTGTTGTACACCCATACATATTCACCTCATCCGAAAGCATGGGGTTCGAGTTGTGATTGCTACTATCTCTATATTAGTAATAAATATACTACACTATGGGAGCATGTGTTTTATGTTCCAAATGAGATATTGGCGCTGCACTTGATCTTACCTGGAGAGGAGCCATTAGTGGAGTGCTGACCCCTGGAGGGAGATTTGTGTGCGGTGGGAGCGGTTCTTTGGAGTGACAGCAGACTTGGAGGATCTGTGAGAGGGATCCCAAAAAGCGCTTTGACCCGCAAGGGTCGAAGTTATAAGGTGAGAGGCTTATCCAGTCGGTGGTCGGATTGTCTTCTGTCAACAACCAAATCCACTTTCACACAATTACCAGCACGAGTGTTATCGATATTTTTTCATCTGAGAGTTGTCATCTGCATATATTGGACTTTATGAGCACTGAATAGACATTTTTGTGTGCGGTTGCACTGTATTAAGTTCACGTATATGCACATTTGATCTTATCTATTGTGTTTTCACTGAATGGGGTATGTATAGATATATCTGTGTGTATTTGTACAAGTTTTTTCATTTTTGTATTTTTATGCACATATTTTTGAGGGTTGCATTTAATACGCATTATTAGTAGCTGTAATCAGTATCAATCACCATCACCATCACTGTTGGAGTGTTTTATGTTTGTGCTCACATTTATTAGTGTCTATAAAGATATATCTTTTTTTTTTTTTTGCATGATATCACTTTGTTATCAGTTAATTTGTTTGATTTTTCACTTATTGATACACTATTTGACACTTATATGTATATGGATAGACGCACGTATTTTTAGCGTTTAGTGTTAGTAGAGCTACATTTTTCCATTTATATGTTCATGTTAAACATTGGTATATGATTTAATGTTAGCAGCTTCTCTTGGTTAGATATAGTCAGACATTGTTGAGCGCAGGAGGTTCACACCATTATTGCAAAAGAGTATGTACACCTTTAATTGAAAAGTTGGGGGTCTGCTTTAATCTGTCCCTCAGAAAGCTAATAGTTAAATATTTTATATATGTAAACTCTCCAAAACTTAGTAAATACATGGTGATCCTTCCAGATTCAGAGATATCACCTTCCTATTTATTTCTGACCATGCTGTGCACAGAAGCAGCAATGTCCTAGCATGATCAGTTTGCATCTTTTCTTCCTGCTTGGGAAATACAAGATGCTATAGTCTGTACTCTAGTAGTCTGATTACTGCTGATATGTCTCACCCCAGCCCTGAACAACCAGCATTGCTGTAGGCAGGGAGTGTCAAGTGATATATACCATCCCTGTATCCATGTGTACAGCCTAAGAGTTTGTGAGCCTCTGCCTACCACCCTCGGAGCTGGGGAGAAAAAAGGAGATCAAGTGGTGGAGGATAAAGCAAGAAAAAAAGTATTAAAAAAAACAGTTTTATTGTTTTCTCCTACAAAGCATTTTTGCGAATCATGTGCACTTTGTGTAGCTGCTAATACTATTGTATGATATACTTTACAGTGCCACCAATATTTTTTTACATCAATCATTCTAAAATATCAAGTTTACCATGGCTCTAATTTTATTTTTTATTTTTTTGTTACTTACCATTATTTTAAGCTTTCTTATTTGTCCAGTGCATGCTCCCTATTCCCAGTTACTAGGGTAGAGCAAGCAGTGCCATTATTTCTGGTGACATGCTCCGCTCTATGCGCACTACAATTCCCATGGAACTGAATATGTCTGCACAAAGAGGCGTAGTCCATTTTAGGGGTGAGCAGGAAAGGGTGGCTACATTCACATACACAAGTGGGACATGGAAAACAAAGGTAGCCACGCTAGAACAGAAAGTCCGAGAACAGCAAAAAAAAGCTTGAGATGGAACAAAGGAAACGAGATAGAAGGTACATTCTAGTTATATTTAGACATATTGCATTTATTTTATTTGATAAAAAAATATGACTTTAGTGACACTTTAATGATGTTTTAATGAATATTTACCTGGGATAAATTATGTTTTTTTTTTTTGTTTGCTTTCATTACCACAGGTTAAAAAAACGGTTTGCTGATTCAGGTGGGGGTTCAGAATTCCAGGCGAGAAGTTCCACTGGTCAGACAGCAAGCTCATGTATGTTATTCGTGTTCTGATTTTATGGAACCAGCCATGCTTCACACCCTTAGTTCCCATTATTCACAAACAAAATCCATCACACTTACTGACAAATAAAAAGCTTGTTTTTCCAACAAAAATCTGATACTAGTTTGTATTTCTCAGATGTGCTTTTTTAAGCATGAGTGATCACACCAAACACATTTCTTGTATTTTTAATACTATTATTTTAAATAAACCATTAGGCATCACAGAACAGAGCATTAAGCAAACAAACTTTAACAGTAAAGGAAAATAATGCAATTATCCTATTCAGAAGTTTGCACACCCTTAGTTCTTAGTATTGTGTATCCTTTAGCATCAATAATGCTTTGCAGTCTTTATTGATAGTTATGAATGCGGCCCTTTATTTTTCCATGTGGTAAAGCTGCCCATTCTTCTTGGCAAAAAGCATCCAAATTCTGTAAATTCATTGGCTGATTTTGCTCATACTCAAAGTTACTCACAGACTGTTGATCAGGTCAGGAGAGTGTGATGGCCACTCCAGATCCCTACATTTTGTTTTGCTAGAGCCACTGAAGTTTCAACATGGCCTTATGTTTCAGATCATGTTAGACAGTCTAAGTACACCCCATGCACAACCATGCAGGCTGATTAAAGCAAATAATTCTCCAATATTTCCTGAAAGAATGCATTCATCTTGACATCAATTTTGAGTGAAAATCCTGTACTGTTGTACTGCACATCTCCAAAACAACCAGTATCTATCTTCATGCTGCACACCTCCAAAATAACCGAGATCTATCTTCATACTGCATAGTAGGGATGATTTGCTTCCCTTCATAAGCCTTGTTGAGTCTTCTACAAACATATTATTTATGGTTCTACCCAAAAAGTTCAGTTTTGGTCTCATCACGTCATATGTTTTTGCTTCAGATTTGAAGCTGCTC